TGCACGCTTCAAACAAAACAGTCAATGAAGACGAAGAAGAGAATGATGTGTGCTCCCGGCGCCTATTTATAATATAGTCGCACCGGTAGTGACGTCATGGCTGTCGCCGGCCAACGAGTTGGTGTTTTTTCAATGTATGCTTCAGACACGGCCACGACGAGGCGTTCCCCATAGCGACCCCTAGAGGACGCAGTTCGAAGTTCCCATGAAAGGGAACGATAATTATTAGCGTCCACACCAACAGACGATAACGTTCTGTGTATTATGAACGTGCTACAGATAGCATATATGTCTTCTGCCGCTTTAAATGCTCGAGCAGTCGAGCTCTTTAAAGCTGGGTGAATCTTGATTGTCTTTTAATGTTTTTATTATTGGTCAACTAGAAATAAAAATCGTGTTATATCAACACAATATTTCTTTAAGTGTAAAACTTTTTAATTACATTTTTTTTTCTGCGTATACCTTTAAATGTGTGTTTTACCTTTAACAAATGAAAAGTGCTGGGTTGGCTACAGATCAAAACAGGCTTGGCATATGAAAAAAAAAATGTTGTTGCCCTTCATACACTTTAGTTTCCTGATCAATAAAATAATAACATCTACTGATGAGTACACACAACATCTAGCAGTTTTAACAGTGCAAAAGTGTCACGTAGATGGCACTATCAAAGAAAAATGTTTTTATTCCTCACTTAATTTAGCAACTCACTTGAAATAACAGGATTATCTGGTTGTGTTTAGCCTGAAGTGAGGGTTGGTGAATTTACTAGTCAGCGTTAGAGACAGTGGAGGGAAAGGAAGAGAGAGAGAGAAGGGCAGAGAGGGAGGGAGAGAGAGGACAGCCGTGGCTCAAAGGGGGTTACATACACATCGCTCGGGTGAAGGAAGAGAGAGGAGGGGGAAAGGAAGGACAACAAAAAAGAAGGGGAACACTGCACTGTTTGTTTTTATTGGTTTGTATTAGAGGAGGAAAAGTCTGCCTTTCTCTTTAAATGAACGGATAAATCATCGCAAACGGCTTCCATCTTTATTTGAAGGAAAACAGTGGGCCACGAGTTAGACGCTGGAGTTTGAAGTGATTTGAGCGTTTGTGACTTATTTCTAAAGCAAAGGGAGACACGGTTTGCAGTCCTGTAAGTGCTTATAGCGACTTGATAGACTGTGACAAGACCAAGCGAAACAAACAAGCAAATATAGAAGTAACTTTATATGACTTTAGAAATATTACTAAGTAGTTGCCAAATGCCATTGAGTTCTGCGAGAAGGAATAAATAACAGCTCTATTAGTGGCCTTTTAAATCACTGCTCAACAAAACACAGGGAAGAAAACCTGATCCACAGTTTCAGCCGGTTATTCACAGCATATTTGCGGACTATGGCGGCGGTAACAAGTCCAGAAGCGAGCCAACAAGCTCGCGTTTACTTCCAGACGCCCCCCGGTTCAACCGAAGAAGCCGAGACCCCGGTCCGCAAGCAAGGACGGGTCACAGTGAAATACGACCGGAAAGAACTGAGAAAGAGACTTAATTTGGAAGAGTGGATTATTGACCAGCTAACGGATCTCTACGACTGTGAGGTAAGACTCGCTTGTGAAAGCTTTACTAGGCTACATCAAATTATGCTGGTCGAGATATTAATCGTTTAGAACCATTAACCTGTATATTGGGGTAATATACTAAACAAAAGCCGTGATAAAGTCATCAGCAGGTCAAGACCCCATTGTATATTCATAAATAAGTGCGCTTTGCAATTTCAGTGCTTAAGTTATCTTACGCAGCCACCGTAACATCATATTACGAGCCAATGGGCAGAATGTAAGTGTGTGTGTGTTTAAGCGTCAATCTGCTGTTGACCCACATTCTATTCCCAGAGACTTTAAGCGATAAAGGCAGAGCGCATTAGTTATTATTACGTTAACTGTATTTCAACTTAAGTTACCTGCGCGAGTGCGCGTTATCCCGTAACTAGCGGTGACGTCACAAACACGTATACCGCGATCGAAAATGTTGGTGAGGTGATGAACCTGATGAAACGCGTTATAGTTAAATATTTTATATGGCGCACAATTTAAATTATAAAGCCTCTAAAATCTGAAAAAAAGTAAAACTGACCATTATACCGTCTCTGAAGGGAAATTATAGAACTGTAACAAACGTGATGAACGTGGCTTACTCCTCGTGTCTCTCTAGTACAAATAAATAATGGCGATTTTTGATTCATTAGAGATTCGATTGGTTTCCGTTCACTAAATGAACCCTTTCTGCAAGCTGCATCGTTACACCAGCAGGTGGCGAGAATTGTGTCCACGCGTCCAGAAATATGAATACTTCCTAGTACATAACATGCAAATATGACCTGTGAGGTAGGCTACTAACAACCACCAAAAATAACTCAGTTGTTTTTATTAAAAAGTACAATTTAACCATGATGAACCACTTTCCAGGTAGACCTTACACTTACACTGTTTTGCCATACTTTCTAAGTTGATGGCTGCTATGGCCTTGTGAGACTGCTGATTTTTGATACTGAAAACTGTTGGCCAAGTGACTCTTTTCAGTGTAAGTAAAAGGACAAATTGATCTGAAGGTTATTTAAAAAAATACTAAAATACTTGTTTGTGAAGGCTTCATTTATATGAAGTCTAAGATAAGTGAAGATATTAATCATAAACCTCAGGACGAAACCTCCAGCACTTTGAACAAAAAAAGAGAGATAAACATGTGGTTTGGCATACTCATGCCTCTCATACCCTCCCCCAGTCTATAAACCATACAATGTACCTGCTTGCTTCCTCACATTATCCAAACCCATGTCAACATGTTAAATCCGCTTTGCCAACTTTCCTAGCTTTTTAGTAAACTATAATGCATGACATGGCGGTCCCTTGAGAGTCTTAATCCTTTTCATTTAAAACTACTTAAATTGTCAGAAGCAAGATACCAATTTTGGCATGGAAGGAGCCGGCGTGGCATACTGCCATAGGGAGAAGCAATCAAGTCATTATAATCTCATTTTCTGCACTGCAAGTGTTTGGTTTCCCTGGATATGGAGTGTATAGTATTTTAAAAGACTGAACAGAAATGCTTCAGTAACAATGTTACAGATGTGGCTTGGTGTAAGGAAAATTGCTGCGGATAATACAAGGGAGGAGAAAACAAAAATACTGACTGGGAGGGTAACGCATGAGGGAAGATAATAATTTTTTTAAGCTCAGCGAGTGTGTTTTCAGGGCATGATTCACTGAGACATCATCATTTAATGATGTAAAGTCATTTTGAAATTGAGAACTAATGGCAGTATTAAATGAAGTAAAAAAAAAAAGAGGATGCAAAAATCAAGCGAGAAGTAAACAGACAATCATTGATGGAGACTTAACAGACGGTCTGTGAAAGAGTTGGAGGGAGGGAGGTATAGAGAGGGACAGCTGTGGCTTTGGCCAGAAGCACAAAGATGGTGTTTTTTTCCCCTTCCTTCCTCTCATTAACACACACACAGAGTGTTGCACTTTTTAGCACGTGCTGCCAAACATGTAATCGCAAAATAAGTGTCTTATTTGGACTTAAAGGTTTAAATGATAAGAGTCAAAGTGTGTATAATTAAACACTGACCTTGTTAAAGTAACAGGGTTTGTCCACAACTCCCGTTTGCTACTAGTTCGTTGACTTTGCAATGAATCCGCAAATTTCTCCATACAAGAAGGGGAAAGGCAAATGGGACGAAGGATCTTCTGACAGGCTTAGTTTCTGGGATCATCAGGTTGATGCCACATAATGGAGACTGCTGAACCGTGAGTCATGACCGAAGGAAATACCAGTGACAGGCGAAAATGCAGGAAGTGTGTGTGTGTATGTTGTGAATCTCTGATGTTTTAAGAAGGCAATAAAGGTCACAACAGTCGCGTGACCTCAGCTTTTGTGCAGTCCTTCTGTGTGTGTGTGTGTGTGTGTGTGTGTGTGCATTGATGAACAGTGTCAGGATGTTGAACTGCTCTGTTTATTGGCTCTGTTTTTGCTTCATGTTGAGTTCTCTTATTTCCTTCCTTTACACTCACTCTCAGAGCTTATTTGAATACTTCAGTTCCTCACCTGCTAATGGCTGTCAGGCATGTGCCCCTCCTGGTTGCACCTGTGTGAGAGTGTGTGTGTGTGTGTGCTACATGTCTCTGCGTGCATGTATGTTTTTGTGTGTAGGGGAAAGAACAGGTTTAGGCATGTCTGTAATGTTGACGTTACAGTCAGAATACACATTTAAATAAACAGCTTTGCATGTCCGTTAGAGATTTGCAAAAAACAAAATGCACATTTAATCTACTGCCGTTCAAAAGTTTGGGGTCAGTATTTTAATTTTTTTTTATTAAGCAAGGATGAATTAAATTGATCAAAAGTGAAAGTAAATACTTATTTAGTGGCAGTAAATTGTTATTTTAATCTGTAAAAATACTTTACAATATTACTGATTTATTGTATTTGTGATAAAATAAATGCAGACTTTGTGAGCATAAGAGACTTCTATCAAAAACATGAAAAAAAATCATATCAGACCCCAAGTTTTGAATGGCGGTGCACATAACTCGTAAACAGTACCCAGAGTATTTCTCTGCATGTGTCTCAAAAGATTCTCTGTTGTTTACTGGCAGTTGATTTTTCACGTCTGAGGTCACTCCCTTTAAGTAAACAGTTTTCTCAGAATTTATGTAGAAATGATGAATCATTCAGCTGAATAATTATGCCACATATTGCCTGCAGTTATTTGGATGTCATGAATAGGGCCAAACCTTATGTTTTCATATTTTAATGATTCATATCTCATGATTTGTCATGTTTTGACATGTATTTACTATTTACTTTTGCAGAAACATTTGATTTGTTGTTTATATTATGTTATATGTATTTACCTTGATTAATTTTTAGTTTTTTAACTTTAAGTTTTGATTCATTTTAATTCATACTGCTGACATTTTCCTTATAACATTAGATGCACTTTCTTGATAATCATATCATGCCCTGTGTCCACATTCACATATGGTACATCCTAAAGAGTAGAAGCAGTTTATGGTGTTTCCTTTTAGACCTTTCAGTTAATGGGTTAGTTCACCCAAAAATGAAAATTATCCCACAAATCCTAGTCATCCTAGGTGTATATGACTTTCTTCTTTCAGACGAATCCAG